GAAGGAATGAGTTCTTTTCCCTCCCCCACACACATCCGTATCGTCTCAGGGGGTGACCACAGTGTTCTGCCTTAAATTGTGGCGTTTTTCTAAGAAATGGGTGCTATGTACTGTGCGAAAGCAATCGATTTTGCAGGCATAAATTTTTGTACATCCCTCTTCTAAGAATTCCAATTGAATGTGTTAGTGTAGCCAGCTCAGGGCAATATGATATTATAAACACCAGCACTATCACGTCTCTGGTGTTTATAGCTTCAGACAAACAAAACACATCATTCATAACAGAAACAGCTCGCAATAGCCACAGGAACGTTGCTGCAAGACAGGCATATGTAACGACGACTTAGCGCTCTTAAACGCGTGTGTCATTAAATACAGTCCTCCTGACAACAGGCCAGTGAAAAATCTAACAATCTGCAGCAAAACCATATATTATTATGGGCGTTATAACATACGTGTGCAGCTGGACGAAACATACACGTCGAACCCCCCCAGACGATTTAAATCCCTGACGAAATATACACGTCGAACCACGGCAACGGGTTAATTAACAGGAAGAATCGTATTTTGTTGTATTAGATAGGAATGCTGTAGGTTAGTGGTTAATACAGTTTTTTTTGTTTCCAGGCCCTAGGGGAGGTTCTGGTGGCCGCAGTGGCAGCAATCCTCGAGGAAATCGTGGCAGTAGTTTTGTTCGTGGAGGAGGCAGCAGGCAGTAGTCTGCATCATAAGTGGAACAGTGTTACAGCATGTTAAAACTAGTGTAATTGGAACCAAATTCTGGAGTCATGATTATGTGAATGACCAAGATTGTGACAGTGAAAGACAGTTTAATGAACGTGAATTTTTTCTCCACCCTAATTTGCTCCATTATGAAAAGCGAGTGTAAAATTTAGCCACATTTCAGTAATGTGGATGTAATGATTGCTACACTAGAGTCTTTTTATTAATTATGCAGGACAAACAGTCCTGTGAATATCAGGCTACTTGGTGTGGACTTGGTGGAATGTGACAACAGATTGGTTTGAAGGTGATGTGGGTTGTGAGAGAAGAGGAGTCAAGTTCATACCAGTTTCTTAGTATTAACTAAAATGTTTAGTGCCAGAAGGCAGTTTTCACAGGGCAACAACTGAGTAAAAGCATTAAATACAAAAATAATTTTACTATAAAAATACCAAAAAAAGAGAACACGTGTATTGAAAAAGTAACTGAAAACATAAAAAACGACTATTTCCTCTATCTTAAATGCATATCTTTATTTTGCTTTATTAAATATAAAGAAATGTTTGTTTTTCTTTGCAGTTGAGTGATCAGCATTATATCAAGAGTTTCAATTTCATTGTGTGATATGTATTATTATTATTATTATTATTATTACAATTATATCATCACCACCATCATCATCATCATCACTGCCTCCTCCTACTACTTTTTATTATTATTATTAATCACACTATTATCTTTAGCATGTAATATTAACTAGTTGTTATTACCACTATAATAATTTCTATTATTTTCCCCTGTTTATCATAAGAACATGTTTCAAGACTGCGTAATTTTTAAATCTGTTCCATACAATTTGCTGCTGTAATCCCTACAACAATATCACATTCAGTTCCAAATATAGTGGACCTCAGCCCACAAGTTGGATCTTCCAATAAAAATGCATTGCAACATGACTGTAGTTGAATTTACTATGATTGTCAGGTGCAATGTTCATTACAGGAGACCTTCTTTCCCGTTTTCTGTAGGGGATCTTGTTTGTATATGGTTTAGCCCCAGGCCCCTTTCCATCACCAAAGTAAATTATTCTGAAATGTAATGCCTGAATTATATAGAAGTCATGATTATGGTTATGTTAGCATATATGTACGAGAATGTAGAATTCATTTCCTATATGTATCTTATTTATTATTGACCGCCTCTGTGGTCTAGTGGTTAGAGTTCCTGGCTACAGATCCAGAGGTCCAGGTTCGATTCCTGGTGCTACCAGATTTTCTGAGAAGTAGTGAGTCTGGAACGCGGTCCACTCAGTCTCATGAGGATAACTGAGGAGCTATTTCAAGGAAATAGTGGCTCTGGTCTAGAGAACCAAACTTAACGGCCATGGGGATTTGTTGTGCTGACCATGCGACACCCTCTATCTGCTGAAGTTGGCGCTGACTTCACCGACAAGCAGCAGTCGCTCAGTCAGTATAGTTTGCTTGGAGACTAAAACCACAGAGTTTGTTTTTTTGTATATTATATATTATTAAGTGGACTTTTTCTTTGATGGATATATTTAAAATGGGTTCTGTAGATGTAGGTTTCACGGTCCTGAACTGCCATGAGATAAAATCTTACGGCAGTCTTTTTGGTGATGATTATGAACTTTGTGGATGTTTAGAACAATTCTTATATCTACTAACCTGAATGTAGTATGTTACAGAACTTGAAGGATGCTGTCTTATGTGTTAACATCAAATTTTTAACAAGTTCACATGCCCCAACAAATTTGAATGTTTCAAGTAGGGGATGTAACATTGTATTGTAGATAGTTACCCTGTTAAAGACCTCAGGTCGCTACTGTGCACTCCTAGGGAGCAGTTAGCAACCATGTGGGAGGTGAAAAATTCATACAGTATATTGGTTTGATAACTTGAAGGGAAGAAATCAATTAGGAGACCAGAGCATTATTGAAGTAGGTCTTAAATGTAGTTCAAGGATGTGGACTGGATTTATTTTACTTTGACCAGGGTGTTACTCCAACACTGGTGAAAGCCAAGGGCCATGGAGGTGACCAATTTTGGCAGCTGTTTTAGGTCCCATCTTGTTGTCCTAGTTCCTCAGTACTTCTAGATCTGTGTATTGTTTTAAAAATTCACTATTAATCTAGGAAAGAACTGTGTAAGAAAAGCAATCAGTAGTATATACATGCTTGATAAGGATCCCACCATTATTACATAATTTGTTCCTGGTAGCTTCAAAAGGTTTTGGGACTGAAGCAGATACATTGGCATTGTGTCAGATAGGCTGAAACCTGCCTATTCTTGTCTTAGCATGCATGTCCATTAACCCTTTGACGTGGTCATTTAAATTCCGCGGCCGCGGCTCCTGCGGTAATATATTCAGCCGGCCATTTAAATTTTGCTCGAAAATTATTTATTCATCATTGTTCTTAAATTCTATGAGATAGGAACATGAAACTTTCACTAAAATGATCTTAAATGGTGGTTTTATAACCTTACCTTATAATATGNNNNTGGGTGCTATGTACTGTGCGAAAGCAATCGATTTTGCAGGCATAAACTTTTGTACATCCCTCTTCTAAGAATTCCAATTGAATAGCCAGCTCAGGGCAATATGATATTATAAACACCAGCACATATCAGTCTCTGGTGTTTATAGCTTCAGAGCAAACAAAACACATCATTCATAACAGAAACAGCTCGCAATAGCCACAGGAACGTTGCTGCAAGACAGGCATATGTAACGACGACTTAGCGCTCTTAAACGCGTGTGTCATTAAATACAGTCCTCCTGACAACAGGCCAGTGAAAAATCTAACAATCTACAGCAAAACCATCAATTATTATGGGCGTTATAACATACGTGTGCAGCTGGACGAAACATACACGTCGAACCCCCCCAGACGATTTAAATCCCTGACGAAACATACACGACGAACCACGGCAACGGGTTAAACACAGTGGAATTATTCAGTTGTGATTATGCTGGTGGGTCTGATAGATCGTAGAGGGTAATGTGAAGTTTTGCTAGTGATTGGTTAGGTTGGTACCAGAAATACTGCAGATGCTTCAGATATTTGTGATGAACAGGATATTTCTTACCGATGGTACCATGAGTGGCATTACAGATTTAAGAAAAGCTATGAATTTTTCAATAGTGACCAATGCAGTAGATAGAACAAGAACGTGCTCATCTATGAGACAGAGCACAATTGAAATATCAGAGAATATAGGTTACCAAAGATGGGTTTCTCCTGTATGGAAATGTCATGGTACATCAACCATTGATTTTGCAGCAGCTCACCAAGTTTAATTCAGAGGTTCTTGCTATAGTTCATTTCATCCCTGCCACACCCATCTGCACTCTGTGTGAATGCACATGCAGTTGAGCCCATACTTGATTCTGTGATGTCACTATTGACATCATGTCAGCAGAAACAGTGGGTCTGTCTGTTGTGTGGGCGGAGTGATGAGGGGAAGGCACTTCAGAAGCCCTCCGAAGTGTGCCAAATTGACAGGAAAAGTTAACAGATTGCCACAGCCTGTTAGCTTCAGCAAGGGTAATGACCATTCTTAATTAGATTTTTTATTCATTTCTTTAGCCCATCCAGGCAAATGCTGTGCTGTTACTGTGAAATAGGCCATTCATCCCAGTCTTCTTTATACAGTCATCTGTTTATGTTAATTACTAAGTTACCTCTACAGTTTATCAGTAAATAATCCACAGTCTACAAAACACTCCTAATAAGTTCTTCAGTAGTTGTAGCGACATTATTGAAATCCTGGATAGGAAACACATGAAACAGACATGTACGAGCATGAGACAAGAAGTGGAAAACCTTTCAGGAACAAGCATTTCTCTGATAGACCCATTTTTTATTGTAATCGCAGTTTTACAACACTGTATTGTTTATTCCTTTTGATATGCCTATCCCCAGTAAAATGTTTTCGTAAATTATTGTATTTAACAACTGTGAGAAGAAAGATAGGGAGAGAGATGGTTGAAAAGTTGATTTGTGCAGATGCTGCCACCCATTACATATCTGATGGATTGTGTTACATGCTGCTGTATAACGCAAAAGGCTCAAGAATCGACATTCAGGCGGAGATGAGTCAGCATGAGGATTCAAGACTCATACATGCCTAATGTGAGCACATTTCAGTTACAAATATGGTAAATGTTAAGGCTAACCTTGACTCCTCCATAATGTAATTTAACCCGTTGCCGTGGTTCGTCGTGTATGTTTCGTCAGGGATTTAAATCGTCTGGGGGGGTTCGACGTGTATGTTTCGTCCAGCTGCACACGTATGTTATAACGCCCATAATAATTGATGGTTTTGCTGTAGATTGTTAGATTTTTCACTGGCCTGTTGTCAGGAGGACTGTATTTAATGACACACGCGTTTAAGAGCGCTAAGTCGTCGTTACATATGCCTGTCTTGCAGCAACGTTCCTGTGGCTATTGCGAGCTGTTTCTGTTATGAATGATGTGTTTTGTTTGCTCTGAAGCTATAAACACCAGAGACTGATATGTGCTGGTGTTTATAATATCATATT